CTCCCCTCCCAACCCCCCACCCCAATTCCATATGTAGGGGAATGCCATCCAGTTGGGGTCATGTAGATCTGACAGGTCATGTGAAGTAGGGACTAGGGCTTCTCTCCTGTCTCTAGGTTAAGGCAGTATCCCTCCAAGGGGGATGTGTTCGCAAGGTCCTTTTGTGCACCAGGGATACATCCTGACTCCACTGTCTGAGGTCCCTTAGACTGCTCAGTCCTTTATTGTTGAAGGACCTTATATTAGGTCTCTAAGGCAGACCAAATATTTATAAATGAGCTCTAACTAGACTATAGGAGGATTTCTGGAGGTTAGATAAACACCAGCATTTCTCAGGAACTTGTTCAACTCATCTGCCAAAAGGAGCCATTTCCTTTACCTCTGGCAAGAGGAAATAAAAGGCTTGATTGACAGATACATGTGGTTTCATATCAAAGCCCATGCTGGACTCCAGGGTCCCTTGTGACACATGCCAAAATCCAGGCAGCAGTACCCCAGCCCTTCTCACCTCAGATCTCTGTTATTTTTATACCCCCTTTTTGTACTCTCTCTCTCTCTCTCTCTCTCTCTCTCTCTCTCTCTCTCTCTCTCTCTCTCTCTCTCTCTGTGTGTGTGTGTGTGTGTGTGTGTGTTTATTGGGGTTTTCTTCTTTTTGGATGGTTTCTATTTTTTTGTTTTTGTTTTGTTTTTTGCTGTATTGATGTTTTTTGTTTGTTTTTGAAAAAACTTAAAGGTGTGTGTGTGGGAGAGAGAGACAGAGACAGAGAGAGAAATTGATTGATTGATTTCTGGATTGGATCCCCATTGCATTTTTAATTTTATGAGGATCTTTTATTCTGTTTTCCACAGAGGCGTACCATTTGACACTTCCAGCAGCAATGTATAGAGGTTTCTTTCTTCACATCCTTAATATTTATTGTATTTTATAGTAACTGATCTCATATATGAGATAGTATCTCAGCACAGTCTGAGTTTTTTCTGATGACTAGCAACACTGAGCATCTTCCACAGACTGTACTGCCATTTAGTGTATTTACTTTGGAGAAATATCTATTCAGGTCCCTTGATTTAAACTGAGTTACTCATTTCTCTGCTATTGAACCATAGAAATTCTGCACATAGCCTGTTAGGAATCCTCATCAGACACATACTTTGCAGTTATTTTCCTGTGTTCCACTGCTTCATTTTCACTCTTCCTTCCTTTAATGTGAAGATTTAATTTAAAATAGTTTCTTTTGCAGGGCGTTGGTGGTACCCGCCTTTAGTCCCAGCACTTGGGAGACAGAGGTAGGCGGACCTCTGTGAGTTTAAGGCCAGTTTGAGGTCTACAGAGCTAGTTCCAGGACAGACTCCAAAGCAATACAGAGAAACTCTGTCTCAAAAAACAAAAACAAAAATAGTTTCTTTTATTTGTTTATTTATTTTTGATGGAGTTTCAATTGTTCAGTTTTGTCTATCACGCCAGTACTGTGTCTGCTACTTTTTACCCAATCACAGACTTAGTTCTGTAGCTTGCTTTCCCCTAGGTAAACTTTATTAAGATAGCTTGCTGTAGAACCATCTCCTACTTCCCAACAGCATCCAATCAAGAACAAAGGCTCTTCAAAGCAGCAGAATAAAACCCCCAATCCTATAATAACCTCCACTTCATGTCTTTTACTGTGATGCCCTAAAATTCTTCATAGATCACAATTGGGTAACTTTAGCTGGAGGATAAGCCCATACAAATATATGCAACTAATATTTTTCGAAGTCCCAAACAGAAGTACAACAAGAATAGAATTTACCTGCCTGCCTTCGTGTGTGTGTGTGTGTGTGTGTGTGTGTGTGTGTGTGTGTGTGTGTGTGTGTGTTGGGGGATGAGGATATTAACTGTTACAGGTATCCCACCAGTAGGCTAGGACTGAACCTAGGCATTTGGGGACCTAGGTGTGGCCCAGAGTGTCCAGAACATGGGGTTTTTAAAGGAAGAAATTTCCATGTCTTGGCATCTTGCTCAGCAGCTGCACAGGGATTCACAGAATTAAGCAGTTTGGAGCAAGCAGTTTTAACAGAAGCTGAGATAAGCAGTTAGCTGGGGTGGGGGTGTGTTCCCCATAGGCAGGCAATTTAATAGAAGCTGACATAAGTTAGTTAGGACATGCTGACCTTTGGTTCCTAGAATAGAGTTGGGTAACTTCCCACGGATTCTCCATGAAGGAGATCACATTCTAGTTAAACTTCAATACAGTGCAACTTAACTCAGCAAGAATACGAGATGGAGGAGCCTGGTCTGGCCTGTCATGGTGACGGGGAGAAATGTGGGGCCTGACATGATACGGCTGATGGAGTCGGTGGGAACTACATTTCAAACTTGTGTTGAGTTGCTCCTGCTGTCTCTGTCCTGAAGGCTTTAATGACACTAGCAGAGGGAAGCACAACACAGGGAGGGTGCCGCCAGTGTAGGATGAGGGACTCCTAGGAGATTCTGGGGCCTCTACTGGAGGTACCCAGGCCCTTGGCATGTGCCACAGAAAAGAATTTCAGAACGAGTCAGAGTGAAAGGAGTTGGTGAATGTAGTAAGTAGAAAGACGAGGATCTCTTGACTAGAGAGCGAGGGTGTGGGCATTAGGAAGGAAAGGGATGCTCTGATGACTCCCACGAGAAGCTCTATGTGTCATTTTTGTACTTTGAGATAATTAATTTGCAGCCAAGTTTGTGTTGGTAAACTTTGTTTTTTTTTCTACAGAATTCTGGGTTTTTTTTGTTTTGTTTGTTTTTATTTGTTTGTTTGATTGTTTCTTAAAGACAAAGTTTCTCTTTGTAGTCCTGGCTGTCCTGGAACTTGCTTTATAGCCCTGGCTATCCTGGGAATGCTCGTAGACCAGGCTGGTCTCAAGGAGACAGCTTTTTAAGGTACATTGTCTAGGCTTGCTGCTGGAGAAGGGGCACTACAGATTTATCTAAGAGATCTTTATTCATAGAGCACAAGAAAGTTGGACTAAAGCATAGTTCATTAGCCATTTTAACAACCTTGTTTGTGCTATCTTTTTCTGAAAGGGGAGTAGAGTTTTTTTTTTTTTTTTCCTGCAGGTGGTCCAGTCAGTTACAAAGAAAATACCTGACAGTCATCCAGCTAGACAAACCCAGACTGAGGGATAGGAAAGGCTTTTCTCATGTTCCCTGTATTTCCTAACTAGCTATTCTGCTAGAACCAGCCTGCCTCCATCTTAGGCTTAAAAGCCATCTTATAGTAAAGGCAAACTAGGTTCATTCCTGTTTATGATCTGTTTATGATTAAACCTCTGCTTCTCAAAGATTGTGCTATGTCCCACTGTAGGTGGATTTTTTTTTTTTGGGTCAGCTCCCAAATAACCACACAGAGACTTGTTATTAATTACAAAAAATCTTGGTCAATAGATTAGGCTTTTCCTAACTAGTTTTTTTGTTTTGTTTTGTTTTGTTTTGTTTTGTTTTGAGACAGGGTTTCTCTGTGTAGCTTTGGAACTCACTCTGTAGACCAGGCTGGCCTCAAACTCACAGAGATCTGCCTGCCTCTGCCTCCCAAGTGCTGGGACTTAACATGTGCACCACCAACGCCTGGCCCTAACTAGTTTTTATAACTTAAATTAACCCATCTCTTTTAATCTACATTCTTTTATGTGGTTTGGTTACCTCTACTCTATACTCCCCATGGTACTTCTTCTCTGTCTGGCAACTCTACCCTTCTTCCGAGGGTTCTCTGCCCTGAAAATCCTGCCTACCTATTGGCCATTTAGCTTTTTATCAAACCAATCACAGTGACATGTCTTCACACAGTATAAAGGAATATTCCACAACACCCTACTTGTAACCTTAACTACAAATGGTTCTATACTGCCTGTTCCAGGAATGGGAATCATGTCTTTGTTTCAGGGGTTTGTTACAATTAACTTGTTATGTTTATGTTCTGCTCCTGTCACCCCACTTATTTTGCCCACCAAATTCCCTATTTAGAAAGCCCCTACCCCTGAGCTGTATAAAAACCATGTCTTCTTCACATCTAGAGCTGCTGTCTAAAATCTTGACTTAAGGTGAGACAGCCTGCTGTGCACCTTTAAAATAAAGCTTGCTTTAATTCAGCAGTTGTGGACGTGGTCTTTCTCCTCACAATTTTTAGGTTTAACACTGCCTGATTAATGTTAAAATCTGAGGAATCTGGTGTAAGTGTTGTAGCTTTGAAAGATATCCTGGCAACCGGGAGCCAAGGAATACCAAAGTCACATGGCATGGCAAACCTCTTATGAATTAATTGTAGCTTGGTTAGTAACTTAATAGCTTATATGCACATATAAGCAAATCCATACCATATTTGTCTTTCTGGGTTAGGGTTACCTCACTTGGGATGATTTTTTTTTCTAGTTCCATCCATTTACCTGCATCTATCCATCTTCCTTCTTCCTTTCCTCCCTCCCTTCCTGCTTGCCTCCTTCCCTATCTATCTATCTATCATCTATCTATCTATCTATCTATCTATCATCTACCTATCTATCTCTTTCCTTCCTTCCTCTTTCTTTCTTTCAGCCTGGGTAATACTTCATTATGTAAATTACCACATTTTCATTATCCATTCTTCTGTTGAAGCACATCTAGGTTGTTTCCAATTTCTGGCTATTATGAATAGAGTATCAACGAACATGGTTGGGCAACAGTCTCTGGTAGGATGAAGAGTCCTTTGGGTGTATGCCCAAGAGAGGTATTGTTGGACCTGGAGGTGGATTTCCATCTTCACAGATTTCTCTAGTGGCTGTATAAGTTTGCAGTTCCGCCAGCAATGGATGAACGGAGACTTTATTTTCTATCTTGAACTTTGGAGGGTTGTGTGGAAAGCTGCCCCGACGGAGGAGGCTCACTCAGCACAGCTTCAGCAAGCCTAACATCACCTTCCGCAGAACCCGTCATTCCCCCCATTGCCGTGGTCCTCCCGCGGCGCTGTGAGGGTCTGGAGTTAGCCAGAGGCCGTTCTAGCCGGCGACTCTGTGGCCGGGCAGCGGCCGCCTGCCTTCCAGGCGCCGCCATGTTGGAAGCGCAGGGCTTGAACCATGGCGGCGAGAGCCAGACTGCGGTTACCAGCCCTTCCAGCTCGGCTGGGCGCACCGTGGAAGTGCGGCCAGGACTGTATCTGGGTGGGGCAGCGGCGGTGGCGGAACCAGACCACCTGATGGAGGCCGGCATCACCGCCGTGCTGACGGTGGACTCGGAACCGGGTTTCCAGGCTGGGGCTGGGTTCGAAGGTCTGCGGACTCTCTTCGTGCCGGCGCGGGACGAACCCGAGACCGACTTGCTCAGCCACCTGGATCGCTGCGTGGCCTTCATCGGCCAGTCCCGAGCCGAGGGACGTGCGGTGTTGGTGCACTGGTGAGTGCAGGGGGCAGGGGCAGGGGGCACTCGTACCCAGAGTCGCTCTTCTGCTGGAGGAACCAGCTGTCATAGCTGAGATCCTCACTTCTCATCCATTTGTCCTTTGGAACTGACGTCTCTTTCTCTTTGAGAACCCCATCATGACAGATGGCGGCTATGGAGCTCCTTTCCTGACTTAAAGGCCCACTTTCTCCCTTCAAGGCTGGCATCGAGCAGCCTCTGATATGATGCAGATTTCTCCCAGCGCTCTCTCCCTTCAGTGTCAGATCATGCCTCAGGGTGGTCTCCAGGCTTTTTCCCCTAACAAAGCTCATCTGAAGGGTAATTTTGTGTTGTTTCTACAAACTTGCAGTAAGTTAAAACACAACCTAGTTCAGAATTATATATCCTTTTTCATTATAAGAAGAGAACAGTGGGAATTGCCAGCAGCTTTTAGAGGTGTAGTAAATGGGTTTTCAGTGGACGTGAAGAAACATGCAAAATCTGTTGAGCCCGTGGGACAGTGAATCATAAATGATTCTTTTCAGAATATTGAGTCGGATCAAAACAGAACATAGCTGTGTGTGACAGTCTACTTTGGTATGTTGACAGACTTGTCTTTTCCCCCTGCTATTTGAGTATAATTAATGAAAAAAACTCAGGGAAGGGACCTGAAGTAATTTTCTTCTTCCTTGGTGCCTCTGGACTTTTGCAAGCAGGAAGATAAAGCCACCATCTGCTGCTAATTTGAAATAATTTGTATTCTATGATGTCTGTTTTGAGCAATAATTCATGCATTCCTTCAGTTGTAGGAGAGCTTCTCAAGACTGCAGAGTAAGACCAGATTCATTCTTCTTTCCTTCCTTCCTTCCTTTCTTTCTTCCTTTCTTTTTTTTTGGAAGTGGTGCTGGGATTAAATCTTGGGTTTCACACTTGCAAGAGTTCTACGACTGAGCTGGACCCTCAGTTCCAAGGTTTTGTTTTTTAAATGCTGTGTTTGGGATGAGGGAATCTGGTTGATAAATGGAAGGATTAGGATATGAAGGATTCCTGGGCCTTGTCTAGGAAATTGACAGGGTATATTGCAGCAAAAATAAAAGGCTAGGAATTCTTACTAGGTGTCTGGGGATTCCTGAGTAGTCCTGCTGGGTTGGTTTGAACTGCTTTGTTAGACACTTCCTGTGTGCCAGTGGTTCCAAAGATGTGCATCAGGACAGAAGGTAGTGGTACAAGAAGCATGGGAGCAGATCTTAAACAACTTGAAGTTAGAGCAAAGGAGCCATGACAACATCTAAAAATTCTAAGGTGGTTATTTTTGAATAGTTAATGCACAATATTGTTCAGAACGAAAAAGGCTAGGAAATAAATGACTACTTTTATATGTCGGCAGTATTTAAGAGGTGATGGGTTAATTTGAGTGGAAGTAGAAATAAGCTGGGCACAGTCTTGCACACCTGTAACCCATCACTTAGAAGGCCGAAACAGGAAGATTGCTATAGCTATGAGAGAGGAGAAGAAAGAACTGCGGTGGGCCTAAATTTTACCATCTGTAGGGGGCTGGGCTTCGTCTTGAGTTTTAATTGCTGCTATTTGCTATTTTATTTTGAAGGTCTCTTTTTCAGTCATGCAGGAGTGAGTCGAAGTGTTGCTGTAGTTACTGCCTTTATAATGAAGACAGAACAGCTTCCCTTTGAAAAGGCCTATGAAAACCTCCAGACTATCAAGCCAGAAGCAAAGTGAGTCCCCTGTCCCCGTCACAGTAACACTGCTTCCTTTACTTTTCTTTAAAGTAGTAAAGTGTATGGTGCGTGCGTGCGTGCGTGCGTGCGTGTGTGTGTGTGTGTGTGTGTGTGTGTAGTGCTTGTTGGGTGGGTGCACTTTCCTATGCTTGCATGGGCCAAAGACAAACTTGGGGTCTTCTTTGTCTGCTGTTACTAGTTCTCCTTTTGTCCTGAGGTTTTATTGAAAGAAAGCTCAGCTTCACACTTGGTTTTCATTGCAGGATGAATGAGGGATTTGAATGGCAACTGAAGTTATATGAGGCAATGGGATACGAAGTGGATACTTGTAGTGCAATTTACAAGCAGTACCGATTGCAGAAGGTGACTGAGAAGTATCCAGGTGAGTAAATACTGATGACTAGGGAATTTGGACTCTTCTGAGGTGTCATTTACTTGGACACTAAATGCATTACATTACTTTTCAAGAAATCCAAGCAGTAGGGACTGTTGTTTCCTTTGTTTAGCAGAGAGTCATGTGGTTTAAAAAAGGCTGGGATTGCAATCTGGCAGTCCCATTAAGGGTGAAGGCTTCTTTGTTTTCCTACCTGATTTCTCAACATGGAGATTTTTGTTTTCAGTTTCTGAGTTTAGCATGTATTGCCTCAGTTTGGCATTGGGATTTTATCTGAAAAATCTAGAAGGTTGATATTGACAATTGGATGCATTTAAATTTTAGAGCTTCGGAATTTACCTCAAGAACTCTTTGCTGTTGACCCAACTACCATCTCACAAGGATTAAAAGATGACATCCTCTACAAATGTAGAAAGTGCAGGTAAAATATTTTGTATCCTTTGGAATTTTTATCATCTTGGTAATTGAAAAAGCACTTGAAGTTTTATTATCTCTGAGGAAGGATTTGTTTAATTGGATATTATGGAAATTTGAAAATCAAACCTGCCTCAGAAAGAATGTAGTTTAGTAATCAATAGGGGCAATTGAAATTTCGGGTAGCATTCTCAATGTTGTATTATTTTGGCTTGTAAGAAATATTGTACATTTCATCTTTGTTTTCATTCTTTGGAATTCATTAATGTTTTTGTCTTTGGTGGTTTTGCAGGCGATCTTTATTTAGAAGTTCTAGTATTTTGGATCATAATGAAGGAAGTGGACCAATAGCCTTTGCTCACAAGAGAACGTCACCATCTTTGGTACTTACCACAGGGAGTCCAGCTCAGTGTACATCCTACTTCATTGAACCTGTACAGTGGATGGAATCTACTTTGTTGGGAGTAATAGATGGACAGGTGAGAACACCATTTTCTTTCTACAGTTTTGTTGTATCATCTAGATTCTGTTCCTTTTTACACTTTTAAACTGTGTTTTAGAGCTGGGGGTGTGGCTCAGTTGGTAGTATGCTTGTCTAGTGTGCATGAAGCCCTGGGCTCCATACCCAGCATCACATAAGCCAGCTGTGAAATCCCAGCACTCTGGAGATTTAGGCAGGAGGATCAGAAGTTAAGGTCGCCTCGGGCACACAGCAAGTCTTAAGACAACAACACACATTTTATTTATTTTTAATATCTGCATTACATTTTCTTTATTTTGTATGTGTATGTGTATGTACCTGTGGGGGCTTTAGGGTGTCACACACTCACATGGAAACAATTAGTGGGAGTTGGTTTCCTCTGTATACCAAGTAGGTCTCAGGCTTGGCCAAAGGGTCCTTACCTGTTGTGCCATTTTACTTTCTGGAAGAAGAAAACAAAACGTGTTTTAATCAACATTTCCTTCTGAAGATTCTCAAGATTGTATCTTTTTAGTACATGAGTAAGGCCCCCAAAAATTAAACTTAAGGTCTTACCCATATAACAGTGCTGTCTACCATAAAACTGTGCCCCCCCAGTATTCAAGTAAAATGTTTTTAAAAATTAGCTGATTAAAGTTCATTAACCACATTTGATGGAGAACTACTCATCCAGATTAGATTTATTTTAAGACTATTGTTTATGTTTTCAAACATAAGACTAATATCTTAAAAATAATTGGACATATATATCACAAAATTAAGTGAGATAAATCATGAAAAAATTATGTTTAAATTTTATTTTTCTCATTTAGTTTTCTATGTTTCTGACCTTTGCTTTTGATGTATTTGCTATGGGATGCTTTTCATCCCTTATTAGAAAATGGAGCTCAGAAACATATCCTGTGGCCCTCACATTTGCCTTCATGTACACTTGACACCAATCTGAAGGTATTCTATAGCAATTTTTTTTAATTCAGGGGATCTAATCCAGAGCTCTTGTGTGTCCTATACATTCTACATGAGCTACAACTCAATCCCCTGAAGTAACCATTTTAATGAATTTGAAAGATTGTATAGGTAAATAAAAGTTTGTATAGCAGATATTTTATGAAACCTTTTATTGTATTTCATTTGAGAATATAGTAGCAATAAATGTACTTGCAATCTAGTAATGAGGAAACTTAGTTTACATTAGTTATTATTTTGTCTGGAAAGTGGTATCCACATGTTCAGATTGAGCTGCTTTAAACCTGCTTTATATATATGTTTATATATACTTCTCCCATTTTATAATCTTCAGTATTTTTAAAATATAGTTACAAGGGATTTTTTTTTTTTTTTTTTTTGAAATCACACTCAAAATAATGTACTCATTAGGAATCACTCAACATTTTATTGTTTCATTTTGTCTTTTTGAGACAGGGTTTTGCGATGTAGTTTGGGTTGGTCTTGAAGTCATGATCCTCCTTCCTCAGCCTCTTGAGTGTTAGGATTTTAGGGTATGTATTACCACACCAGGTCCCTATTCAGCTTTGATTTTTGAGACAGGATCTCATGTAGCCCAGTGTAGCAGGCTTAATCTTTGGGCCACCAACCAGCTCCCAAATAAAGATACAGAAACTTATTATTTGTTATGAATGCTCCACCTTATCTAATGCCTGTCTCATTAGCTCTTATAATTTAATTTAACCCATTTCTCTTCATCTGTGTTTTGCCTCAGAGCTTTTTACCTTCACCCATTTTGTGTGTCTTACTTTCCTGCTGTCAGCCAGCCAGCTACCCGTCTCCCTCTTTTTCTCTCTCATTCTCTCTTAGATTCCTCCTCCTACTTATTCTCTCTGCTCACCAGCCCTACCTATTCCTCTACTGCCTAGCTATTGGCCAGTCATCTTTTTATTAGACCAATTAGATGCCTTAGGCAGGCAAGTTAAAACAAATGCAACATATCTTTACACAGTTGAACAAATACAGCATAAACAAATGTGACACATCTTGCTTAGTTAAACAAATATTCCATAACAGCCCTGGCCCTCCAGGGATCTCATGTGGTTTAGACTGGCCTCCTACTCCTTGTCCAGATTAAAAATAAAATGAGGACATGGCTGCTTCTAGGTATTGTGGAGGAGTGTTGTAGCTATGAAGGGGAACACAGCCAGAAGCATGTGGAGGGCCCAGACAAACCAGGCCTGAGACTGATCTGGGCAATAAGAGGAGTGTGGGTTGCAGGAAGAGTGAGAGACAGAAAGGGAGGCAAGAGAGAGAGAGAGTATCCAGGGACCAGAAGGCCAAGAAATTGGATTATATAGGAATCAGAGAAGTTGGAGGGTGAAGCTCAGGGTAGGGGGCTGGGTATGCCAGCCAGGATGACTCTGTAACAGGAACTTGTGAGTAGGGACTTGAGGAAGGCTTGTGGCCAGGGTCTGCTTTTTAGTAATTCTAGTTTGTGTCAAAGTGGAAAACTGACTCGCCAGTCATTTTTAGTTTGTTTTTCTGTAAAGTGTTATATATCTTTATTTTTTTCTTGATGTGTAGGAGCTCTTTGAATATTATAGATAAGCTTCATCTAATAGTTTTTTCCATCTCAAACTTATAATATTTGTCACATTAGAGTTTAAGACAGTAGAGAAACGTATGTGTGTATGTGTGTGTGTGTGTGAGGGGGGCAGAAACAGAGAGAGAGAGCTATGTAGCCTAAGCTGGCTTTGTATGTGCTATGTAGCTGATGTTGTCTTCAGACTCCTCATGGTCCAAATATGTTTCTGCATTTTATGTCCAGGCTTAAATAAAACTTTATTTATGTATTTAGGAAAGGAGTACATGTGCCATGGTCTGTGTGTGGAGGTCAGGACAGTTTTGTGCCATCAGTTCTTTCCTTCTACCTTTACATGGATTCTGGGACTCAAACTCAGGCCATCAGGCACGCTTGGCAAATGCTTTTACACACTGATCCATCTTTCTGGCTCTATGTCCAGACTTCTGTAGCTCAATTTAAAGTAAAATTTCCTACTCAGACCATGTATACTAAACATAAATGATAATGCTATTGTTAACATTAGAGAAAGTGTTGACTTGGTGAGTTCTTTTGGATTTCTCTCACTGGAATATCAGTGTATCTGATATCATTTAGTAATAGATGATGAGAATCTGAATATGTATTTCCATTTTACCATGATATTCTAATTTGGAATCCCATTATAAATGGACTAGAAGCCAAGTGTTTGTTACCTTGGTACAACCATTCTTAGTTGTTTTGAGCTTTGCTTTTCCCCTTTAGCCTGAGGTTCCTGTTCCCCTTTTTCAGTTCAGAGAGCCTCTTTTGTATCAGTTGTGGTTTATGGTTAAGTGTATCCTCCCAGATTACAAATACCTTAACTAGCCAGGTGGTGGCATCACATGCCTTTAATCCTAGCGCTTGGGAGGCAGAGACAGGTGGATCTCAGAATCTACAGAGGGAGTTCTAGGACAGCCATGGCTACATGGAGAAACCCTGTCTTGAAAAACCAACCAATCAAAGTAACCATTTTTTTTTTTTTTTTTTTGACAAGAACCATGACTTAGCTGTTTTGTATTCTGTACTGTCAAAAATAGTTGCTGAATGTATATAAAAAGGATATAGTGACACATTTGCTTTTTTCAGCTTCTTTGCCCAAAATGCAGTGCCAAGTTGGGTTCCTTCAACTGGTATGGTGAACAGTGCTCGTGTGGACGATGGATAACTCCTGCTTTTCAAATACACAAGAATAGGGTGGACGAAATGAAAATGTTGCCAGCACTGGGATCACAAGCAAGGAAACTATGAACTCAGGACACAGCTTGGAATAAAACCCAATGAAACATACTTCTCTTGATTATTATCTTTCATAGTAGAGATCAAATTTTCATTTGGAGTGTCCAAAGATCAATACTGTAGTAGATATGTGTTGGTAGCTTATACATGGTATATGATGTATATGCAATACTTCATTGGACAATCCAGGCTTTTAATCATGTAATTTTCATTTGACATTAAAATCTCTTGTAACCAGATGCTATTACCTGTTTTAATGCTTTTGTGCTCTTTGGATCTAGCCCATGCTTTAAGCATGCAAGATAAGTTTTCTACGTCCGAGCTACATCTGGAACCTCTTATATTTGTAAAAGTTTTGCTTTGTAGTATGTTGGTCATGTGATACTAAAGTCTAGATGGATAAAATTGTGTGCAAGAACTTGAAACTGTCAGTGTCCAGGTAGATATTCTTTGGTTTTCAGAAATACAAAGCAGATTAATTTGTTGTATTTTGAAAAATTATTTCTGTGTCTTATTTAAGGGACATTAGTAAACCTACATCTATTCATCCTATATTGGGCACTGACCACAGATGAAAGAGATCATTCCACCAAAGTCCGGCTTGGTAAATTGGTGAATTTATTGGGGTTACTTCAGGAGCACGAGCAACTCAAAGCAATTGCATTTCTGGAAAGTGGGCATGGGCAACCTCTCACAAAATCTGTATTCCTACAGCTTTCTGCTCAATTTGCAGGCAACTTACTGCAGGAGAGTCTCTTCTCCCAGTGACCATCACAGTTTATTATATTATCTTTGGGAAGGACATTGTGAACCTTGTAACTGTCTTGAGCCTTGTAAATTGTGTTTTAATCATTCTCTTCACTCCTGGGGGTGGGAGGGGAGAGAGAGTTTGAGAGAGTCTCTGTGTAGCCCTGGTGTGTTGTGTATGTGTGTGTTTGAGACAGGTTGTCTATATAGCTCTGGCTGTTCTGGAACTCACTCTGTAGACCAGACTGGCCTGAGAGAGATCCAACTGCCTCTGACTCCTGAGAGTGCTGGGCTTAAAGGTGTATGTGTCACCATGTATGGCCAGATAAGCTTTTTAGTTTTACCCACAGTAATTAGAATTTATTTTACTTGTTTAGTATTAGAATTAGGCTTAATTAGATATTTAAACTTTTACATAAAGGCAGAATTAGCTAAAAGGGATAGTCTATGGCTTTAAGACACTTGGAGGTGTGCAGTAGTGGCACACGTCTTTAATCCAGCACAGGGTAGACAGAGGCCTGTAGTTTGACTTTCCTTTGTGGGATGGCCAGCCTACAAATAATGACACAGAGACTTACTAATTATTAAAGCTTGGCCTCTAGCTTAGGCTTTTTACCAAGTAGCTCTTATAACTCAAATTAACCTGTTTCTATTACTCTACATTCTGCCACATGGCTTTTACCTCTCTCTTCCTGTACATCTGACTTGTTCTGTGTCTTGCTGGTGTCAATGCCTCTCTTCTTCCCAGAGTCCTCTCTTCCCAGAAGTCCCACCTATTCTTTTCTGCCTGTCTATTGGCCATTCAGCTCTTTATAAACCAATCAGAGGTCCTTAGTCAGAGACACATCTTTACAGTATACAAAAAGTTTATCCCCAAATAGAGGTCAGCCTGGTCTGCAGAGCAAGTGCCAGGACTACATAGAGAAACTGTCTCAAAAAACCAAAAACAGTAAAAAAAAGACACTGAAATGGAAATAATTTTTAAATAACTTGAACAACAATCCTCTTTAAACATGCCTTAGTTTGGGAGAGTTTTACTAAGGATTCTTGAGAAAGACCCCTGCATATGATCTGAAGCCTCTGGAAGCTTGTATATAATACTTCTTAAATAAATTCTTTCCTTTTCATAAATTTGCTCACCCTTTTCTCCTTCAATATCTTCTCAAAGCATTTCAAAACCTGGTCAATCCATAAGACTGCCTCTTTGTAAGTGAAAAATGGTTGAATAGCCACAATCTCATATGGCTCAATTTAGCATCTAGCCACCCTACACCATATAGCAGAGAGTAGCCTATTTCTTTTAAATTTACATTTTCAGTGTAATATTTAATGCACAGTGAGAACATGTGTGCACTATTGTAGGTGATAAAGTGAATAAACCAGACAAGCCCCTACTTTCTGGCTACATCATTCCAGATGGAAAGGGCAATACCTTTTTGAAAGCTAATTGTACTTGGCAGAAAGGAATGGCTGGGAAACCTAACTGTAAAGTTCAGCCAGGGTAGTGGTACACACTCTAATTCCAGTACTCTGGAGGTGGAGGCAGGAGAATCAGGAGTTAAAAGTCTTGAACTTCGTAGGGAGTTGGAGCAGAGGCCAGTCTGGCTACAGGAATCTCAAGCAAAACAACAGAAAAATAAAGCAAGGTGCATGCACACTGCTTCAGAACCATTGGGCAGCATGGCTCCAAGTGGGTCAGGTTGGTGCTAGCAGGAAACAGCCAAGACAGTGGTTCTTGTTCTGTGAGGCTGATGTGGGCAACTACCTGGTGACTGATCCTGGAGTAGATGCCCTACAGCAAATGACAGACAATCTCTGGGCCTCTCCAGTGATTATTCGTTCATTCATTATTATTATTTTTTTTTTACAATTTCATTTGTGTATATAATGCTTTCTGATCACACATCTTATTCTTACACTTTTCCCACTCTCAGTATCCCCCAAGCACCCTCTCACTTCCATGTCTTTGTTTCTCTTGTGACCCACTAAATTTAACTAGAACTATCTCTGTGAGCACAGATGTGGTTGAATTCAAGTTAGAATTAAGACAGACATAAAAATCTTTAATCTCTATATCTGGTTTCACTTTTCAATCTCTATATCTGGTTTCACTTTTCAGTGTAATATAGTATATTGTAATATATATTTTAATATATATTTTTTTTGTTTGTTTTTTTCCAGGAGGGTATCTCTGTGTAGCTTTGGAGCCTGTCCTGGAACTACTTCTGTAGACCAGGCTGGCCTCAAACTCACAGAGATCTGCCTGCCTCTGCCTCCTGAGTGCTTGAGCTAAAGGTGTGCACCACCAACACCTGGAGGTAATATATATCTTAAAGATGTCATACCACAGTGTGGATCTGCCTAAAATTCAATAGTACTGATGAGACACAATATAATAAAGTGTGATTTTACCAGTCAGATTTTTGCTTTGTGTGTGTGTGAATACAAGGTGATTACATTTTGTTGTTTATTTTTAATTTTTTATATAATTTTTTAATTTAAATTAGAAACACGCTTGTTTTACATATCAATCCCAAACCCTCCTGTTCTCTGCCTTCCTCCTACCAACCCCCATCCCATCCCCTTTCTGCTTCCCAGGGAGGGTGAGGCCTTCTATGGGGAGTCTTCAAAGTCTGTCATATCATTTGGAGCAGGGCATAGGCCCTCCCCCATGTGTCTAGGCTGAGAGAGTATCCCTCTATGTGGAACGGGCTCCTAAAGCCCATTTGTATACTAGGGATAAATACTGATCCACTACCAGAGGCCCCATAGATTGGCCAGTCCTTCCAACTAAAATCACATTCAGGGGGCTGGATTTGTCTTATGCTGGTTTCCCAGCTATCAGATTGGAGTTCATGAGCTCTCCCTTGTTCAGGTTAGCAGTTTCTATGGGTTTCTCTAGCCTGGTCTTGACCCCTTTGCTCATCACTCCTCCCTGTCTGCAACTGGATTCCAGGAGTTCAGCTCAGTATTTAGCTGTGGGTGTCTGCTTCTGCTTCCATCAGCTACTGAATGAAGGCTCTAGGATGGCATATAAGGTAGTCATCAATCTCATTATTGGGGAAGGGCATTTAAGGTAGCCTCTCCGTTATTGCTTAGACTGTTAGTTGGGGTCATCCTTATAGATTTCTGGACATTTCCCTAGTGCCAGATTTTTCTTAAAATCTATAATGGCTCCCTCTATTATGGTATACCTTTTCTTACTCTCCTGTATTCTTTCCCTGACTCAATCTTCCTGCTCCCTCATGCCCACCTCTCCCTTCCTCTTCCTTTTAACTCTCTCTCTCTCCTCCCTTCATGCTCCTAATTTGCTTGGGAGGTCTTGCCCCTTTCCCCTTCTCCAGGGGACCATGTATGTCTCTCTGAGGGTTCTCCTTGTTTCCTAACTTTTCTGGCGGTGTGGGTTGTAGGCTGGTAATCCTTTGCTCTATGTCTAAAAGCCATACATGACTAAGTACATACTGTGTTTGTCTTTTTGACCAGTCAGTTTTTTTAAATTAGTATTAGTCAGTAGGTTGCCACTAGAGTACAAATCAAAGTCTACTAACATCACCAGGTTACCCATCCATGGTTTTATTCTCTTAATGAGCATACTTTCATAGTGAAAGTGAACTTAGAGGCCAGGTATGAACTTAGAAGTGTGAAGTATTCTTGCAAAAATAAAAGAAAACCTCTCCATCTAGCCTCTGTGTAAAACTAGCAGCTTTAGAACAAGTTAAATTTAACTGTGAAGATAAAGTTATCAGACTCACAAAGTAGGCAGTTCTCCAGGACAAGACTCATTTCTTCAACATATGGTGCCCAGTGGAGTGGGGGAAGAGTGTTGCAGAATATTTGTTTCCTCTGTGTGAACATGTATTACTGTGACTGGTTTAATGAAGAGCTGAATGGCCAATAGCTAGGCAGGAGAGATAGATGGAATTTTGGGGAGAGAGGAGGAGGAATCTAGGTGTGTGGATTATGCCAAGTAGACTCTGAAGAAGTCTGACATATGGTACAGAGCAGAGGTAACTGAGTCACATGGCAGAACATAGATTAATAGAAACAGGTTAATTTGAGTTATAAGAGCTAGTTGGGGACAAGCTAAAGGCCGAACATTTATAATTAGCAAGTCTCTGTGTTATTTGGGGGCTAGCCATCCAAAGATAGTCCAACAAGAAAGCTTGCTATAGAAAAGGGATTGCCATGTGAACTAAACACAGTATTAATCTTATTTTTATCTTCATTTTCACAAGCCAACCCCATATGGGCACTTTAATATATTTTTAGTATTTATGTGTATGTGTGTGCACTTATTTATGTGTACCACATGCGTGCAGGATTCCTTGAAGCAGAAGAGAGCTTCAGATTCCCTGGAACTGGAATTATATACAGATGCTTGTGAGCTGCCATAAGGGTGCTGGGAATTGAACCCGGGTAGTCTGAAGAGCAAGTGCTCTTAATTGCTGGGCTATCTCTAGTTCCTAGACAGGCATTTTTAAGATTGAAAATTGAATATGGAACAGATAGATATTAGATGCTATTAAGGAATTACTGACTTTGCTAGGTATATATGGTATTTTCAAAATAGGTTTTGTTTACATAGATGAATCAATTTGTCTGAGATTTGCTGTAAGACATTTCCTGTAAAAAATGAAGAAAGTATTGGGAGGGAGGACAGATGGAACACGAGTGATAAATGGTTGAAGCTGGGGTGGTAGTAACAAGGGAGTCACCTCTTACATTTGTTAAAATAAATGTTAAAGTGTTACTGTGTGCATCCCTGAACTGTCAGAGAAATGTAAGCTATAGTCACAAATATGCATAGTAACACAGATTGTAAAGGTCTGGTCATATCTAGTGTTGGTGACTTTGTTGGTGAGGATATAAATTGCTCATTTTGCAAGTGACCCAGAAACCACATGGAAGATGTACTAGTAAACAATTCAAAGACCTAAGTGTCCATCTTAGGTAAACAAGTGTTCACATCTATTCAAGGAAATACAGCAATTAAAACCTGGAGAGTGCCTCAAAGGGTAATGCCGGTGACAGTGATTTGTAGAACATTACAGGGTTACACACGTATGTGAATTGCCCTACAGCACTCAACATATGTGTTTATAAACATTTAAACATGGTAAAAGTTAAAATGGACTAAACAGATTTCTATAAAATTCACGGTATGAATTGTCTATTTGGACAGAGGGAAATTAAGTTGGTTATGTAGTGATATATTGGGGAGACAGTTCAATTTTCCTGTATATAAAATTAAAAACTTCATATACTGTAAGAAAAATTAGGTTTAAGTGAAAAATGTTAACATTTGTTTGCTTAATGATAGATGGTCAAACGTTTGTATCATAATTGCCCACTTTTTGAATAAGGGAACTTTATAAAAATTAAATTTTACAAAATTAAAACGGAAAAGTTGAAGTTCAATCATGATTTTTCTTAAAGACCAGAAGAAGGTTTGGTAGGTAGAGAAAACTCGATTTTATTTAAGTGTGTATGTCAATGAATTTGAAGTGCCAGAATTTTGAAAGAGTTATAAATTTCACCGTTAATAAAAATGTTATCATTCCAACGACAGAAGGAATGACATTTATTTTATGGGGACTGTGTATGTGTGTGTGTGTGTATGTGTGCGCGCGACTGTGTATGTGTGTGTGTGTGTGTATATGGGGACTGTGTGTGTGTGTGTGTGTGTGTGTGTGTGTGTGTGTGTGTGTGTGTGTATGTGTGCGCGCGCGCGCTCGCGCCCCCGTCGGCGCTCTGCACGTGTCTACGCGGTTGCGCTCCCAGCCGGACTTGATGAACTCTGATCAGGCTTTCCTCCCAGCTTTCCTGCATTCCGCAATCGGTAGTAACAGCAGCCACGAGGAGCTCAGAGGATTCTGGGAAGCATTTGTTTTGTTTGTAACCATGGGAAAAATTCCAGCCGGTCCTAGAGGGATCCGCGTTCTCGTTCAGTCACCGTTTCGTCTTCAATAGTCACCCGCTACTGAAATTGAGTAAAACTGAAAAAGAAACAATACTAACTATGGTCTTGAAACTATTTTTTTTCAAGCCCAGTTTACAGTTTCAGTTGGAATTCATGATGTGTACGGTTTTTGTTCCAAAAATATTTAGAATCTTGACGTTTTAGTAGTAAGAGATTGACCACTTATTGCGAGTTTTAGAAATTCTTTGTTTAAATTTGTTTGAAAGTGGGCTTTCTACAAGTATGATTTGTGAGAACGTTTTTCTCCGATTGTGTACCAGTAAAATATCAGTTCTAACAAATGAGGAAAATTCTTCGTGTTTGTCTTTATTTTTCTGTGTACGCGGAAAATTGTTACAGTGATAGTATTCACAGATACCGAATCAGATTTACTGTCAATTTCTAATTTTGTTCTGAGATATCTATATCGTATTAATAAGCACAATCAAAGAACAAACCACTGTTCAGGAGACTTTTAATATTTTTAATTTGATCAGCAAATTTTAATTCTTAATATTATCAGCACATTTTAACTGAAGCAGTTAAATCCGCGTGCTCGCCGCCCATCTAAAAAAATAAAAGAAACAAGAACAACAAAAAGCCCACAGCGGGACAGAAAGTACTGAAATCACCCACAGGGAAATATTTACTCACACTTGGCTCACCCACTGACGTCTCCTTGACTTTTGCTCCAAGTGCGGTGAGCTAGTTTGCCTCCGCTCGGCCACCGTCCGTTAGCGTTCAGCATATTTTGTCCGCCGGCCGCCGCCGTTTTGGATTACTCACCGATCCGAGTTGTGAGGGAGAGGTGTCTGTTTCACGGAAGCCGGCTGGTGTGACCGGCACCATGGAGTCGCCTTTCAGTCCGGGGTTTCCTCACGGACCGGAGGAAGACTGGGGTGAGTGGATCTGCGAATGTACCCGGGCGAGCTCGGGCCGCGTCTGCGGGGTTTTCCTCCCGGTTTCCGCCCCGTGACGGTGACAGGTGTGGGCGAACCTTGCCAGGGGAGCGAGGCCACGGGTTGCGGGTCGTGGAAGGGACTGGCAGGACCACTGGGCTTCTGTCCCGGCCGCAGCGGTGGTGGAGTGATGTTCCAATCGAAATTGCTGTAATTTTTCAGCGAGTGTTCCTGGTGATCTTGAGGAACCAGAACTCAGCAGGATGACTGTAGCTGCCCCAAGGCTCCAAGCTATTTTCTCAGACTGTGGGCTGTGGGTGGGGAGCGAAGTGTGTGTGTGTGTGTGTGTGTGTGTGTGTGTGTGCGCGCACTGCTCGTACGCGTGGCATGTGTGAGAAAATTGTTGAAATACACAGAAGAAAATCCTTATCTCTCAGCTTTCATTATTGGTTTAAGGCATGTATCCAAATTGGCAAAGAAGCAAAGGTCCCAAGCACATGACCCATGTTCCTGATTACTAGATCTAACATAAACTGATGTAATCCTCACTGCTGTCCAAACACATCTCTGACATCTCTTGGTTTTGGTGTTCAGCAAGGATGGAATGGAGAATGACAATGGACAAGGGTTGTTATCTAAATCCTTAGAGAGGAATCCTCTCGTGATTACAAGACCGAGTATTAACGGGGTCCATTATGAGTTCGGAATTCTGTAGGTATTTCAGTGGATCCTGTAGTGAGACTACACCGTTCTTCAGCGTTGTAACTTTGGGCAATTATTTTCCTTGGATCAGAGACCAACATTTCACCACAATAAGAGTGGATTCTCACTTAGCATGTATTGCATATTCTAGTTTGTTTTCCGATGGCATATGTGCTCTACAGTCTATAGAGATTTATTTTACTCCTTTGGTAGATTTTCAAAGATTTTATGGAAAGAACTGTAGACGTCCATTTTCCAGTGTGTTTTTCCATCTAAATATTTTGGTATAATAACGTTAGCCACTTGTTTAGGATTTTTTAGTCAGCAAAGCGCACTACACAGCAGCAGTCCCAGTGAGGTCTTGCCCTCCTTTAGATGCTCAAACTGGGGCTGAGGGAATTTGTGCCCAGAGTCTAGAGGTGTTGAATGGTAAAAGTAGGATTAGAACCAAAGCTTGTCTAACTTTGAAATCTGTGCTTTGAAGTCTACTCTCTAACACTTTTCTAGTCATTTTTCCAAAGGTGGATTCTTACTAATGCTTCTGTTTTTAACAAGTCTACTTCAGTATGTTGGGTAGTTAGGATTTGTGTTCTCAACCATTTAACCCTTATATTTTCATGGCATTTCTTAAACTATAACATGAAGCACATTCTGATAGCATTATTTTGTCCTGTTTTCTGATTCTCAGCTGCATTTTCCTAACTCCTGGGCTTGCTTCTTCAACAAAACATTCAGTTCTTTGTAGTCAGTGGACTGACTCCATTCTCAGGTACCCTGCACCATTTATCCCTGAATATGCCCTTCTCCCGTTGCTTCCTTAGGTTTCTTTTTTCAGACTGTTAACAATCAACTCTTGGTTGAATACTTTCATTCCTCAGGTGTTCAGTAGGTAGGATACAGTTTGCAGGCATTAGACACTACTGTCTACTAGGGTTTCTCAATAAAATAATGGATTCTTTGGGAGTTGCTGTTTTGGATGTTTGATTATTTTACTATAGTATTGATGTTTTAAAAAATTTTAGCAACTACCTTGTTAAAATGGAAAAAAGTTAGATTTTATAATTGGCATTTCTTATGATTAATGAATGACCTGAACAATTTGAAGGATGTTATCTTAGAGCAGGGTATAGTGGGATGTGCTGCCATTTATTTTCTAAATGTTATTAATGAAATTTAGAGCTGGCATCTGCAAATGTTTTTTGAAAAGAGCCACATAGCAGCTGTTTTGGGCATTACTATCTTGTGGCCCCTGTTGCAGCTGCTTTGCTATAGTGAAAAAGCACCATAGGCAGAGTAGATAAGTGAGAATGGCTATGTTCCCATAAAAGCTTATGGAAACTGAAATTTGAATTTCACATAGGTTTATTTTGTTATTTCTTTTCCTTAGTTATTTACTTAAAATCTTTTAAAGACAGTGTTTTGCTGTGTATCTCAGGCTGGCTTCAAACTTCTTATATTCCTGGCTTAGCCTTCTGAATGCTGGGATTATAGGCACACAGTGCCCTACCTGGATCCCATTATTGTTATTGTTGTTAGGTCTTTTGAGACAAGGTCTTGCTAGATAGCTCAGGATGGCCTAAAACTTTCATAAGTGTCTTTCCTCTGGCTCCCCAATTATATTTAGTGTATTACTTAATACTTTTTAAAAAAGTGTAGCTTTAGATTTTTACAGTAATTGTACTGATAGTATGTGTAATTCTGTGTATGTCCCCTCTACTCTCTACAGCTTCCTCTACTGGTAACATCTTATATTACTATGCTGGTTAGTTGGTTGTTTTTGTTTGTTAATTTGACACAAGATAGAATCATTCAGGAAGAGATAACCTCTGTTGAGACAGCCCCTCCATCAGATTGTCATGTAGGCAAGTCTGTGGGACCTATTTTGATTAATGATTGATGTGGGAGAACCTAGCCCTTTGTGGATGGTGCCAACCCTGGGCAGGTGGTTTTGGGGTATATAAGAAGGCAGGCTGAACAAGCCATGGGGAACAGCATTCATCTATGGCTTCTATTTCAGTTCCTGTTTCTAGGTTCCTGCCTTGAGTTCCTTCCCCGACTTCCCTTTATGTAGACAGTGTTTGGTACATGTAAGCCAAATAAATCATTTTCTCCCCAAGTTGCTTTTATCATAGCAGTGGAAGACAAATTAAAGCAATTAGTGTGATACTTTTGAGAAGATGGGTGAACTAGTGTTGATCAGTTTTCTTCATTTTTTTTTTTTTTTTTTAAAGACAAGTTCTCCAATTTGCCTTGAATTCTTAATGCTCTTGTCTCAGCTTCCTAAATACTAGAATTACGGGCATGAGCTACCATGCCTGGCTTGATAGATTAGTATTACATGAAGTATGAACCTTAATATAGGGGCTTTGACAAGTGTAATGCCATGGGCACATCATTACCGTGTACAAAGTAGGGTGAGAGTGTCTCTCTCTTACACATTCCCAGTGCTCCATCCATTCATCCCTCCTTCCTTCCACCTGAAAGTCCCATACCCCTTAATACATCTTCTCACTGTCTCCACAGTTTTGCTTTTGTTGTAAAGTTGGAACCACACAGTATGTAACCTTTTCAAATTGGCTTCTTTACTTAGTAGCATGCATTTGAAGTTCCTCTGTGTCTTTTTTGTGGTGTGGTGGTATATTTCTTTCTAACATCAAATAATGCTAAACATAAGGGTTTTGACAAATGTTTCATGACCGTGTCCTACACTGTGTGGAGGATGCTAACTAGTATGCTCAGGTTTTCATGCTCGCCCTCTTCTTGGCTTGTAGATGACTGCCTTCTTGCTGTGTCCTCACATGGTGTAGAAGGAAAGAGAGCTATCCTCTTCTTACAGCATCATTTAGCCTTAGTAATCTCAAGACCCTGTGTTGGATGTAGCCATCTTGGGGATTAGTGCTTCAATATAAATTTTTGGAGGACGTAATTCAGTTTAGAACACATGGTTGTATATCTATTTACGTGTTGATATATTAGTTGCTTCCAATTTTTGGCAGTTAGACATGAAGCTGCTCTAAACATCTGTGTGCAAGGTTTTGTGTTGATGTAAGTTTTGTATCATTTGGATAACAAGGAGCTCAATTACTGGAGCATATTGTAATTTGGTTTATAAGAAACTGCCAAGCTTGTATCATTTTGTGTCTCCACCAGCAGTGAGTGGATGTTCCTGTTTACTGGCATTTACTGTTGCCAGTACTTTGGAGTTTAGTCATTTTAACAGGTGTGTGGTGGTGCCTTGTTTTAGTTTGCAATTTTCTAATGTTACATGGTGGTAAACCTCTTTCCATGGCTAGTTTGCAGTCTTAAACTTGCCCTCCTCTTCTTCTGTCTCTCTTGCTTGAACTGTGCAAAAGACACTTTCTTTCTTTCTTTCTTTCTTTCTTTCTTTCTTTCTTTCTTTCTTTCTTTCTTTCTTTTAAAGCCACTTAAGAAATGTATGTCAAGATAAGAAGCTTCCTGCTGCTGTGGTTTCTCTCATGTCTTTAGTGTCTTCTTTGAAGCTTTGTTTTCTTTTCTTGTACTGTCCAAAGTGTGACACTTCCCCGATGACACAGCTTTCCCCAAAGTCCTGATGAAAGCCTTCTGCACCCTGCATCTCAGAATACAGTGTGGGGGTCTTTCTTGTCCTACTCTGCCATTTCCAGAACATGCTCCTGTAAGACCCTCAGAATGAGGAGTCTTCCAGGTTCAGTCGATACCCCAAGAACTCAATGTCCAGTCCAGTTGCTGCAAAACGCAAGAGGCTTTAATGAACAGGAAACGTTTGCGCAAACAGGCTCTTCCAGCACGCAGGCTAGAGAGAAGCCCCCTCCCCCGGGCACAGGTGTTTTTAAAGGCAACCCCACAAGCTTAGGGAGGGGGTGGGACCCTCTATCCATTGAGTACGTGACCCTTGGAGGCCGTGACCCTTGGAGGCCAGATGGTCTGCTATTAGGGTCAGCAGACCTTAGGGCCTCAGGTGTGCTGATTAATCTTGTCTGGGCAAACCAGAGTTACAGCTATCTCTTTGTTTCCTAAGGACCCTATTTACCACCTGTTGACTCACAGGAAAGGAGGGGCAGAAAGGAGGGGCAGTGTGAATTCTTGTCATCTCAGGGCCTGGTGAGAGGAAGCTAGCAAATTCCAAGGAACAGATATTGGTTAGCTTTCCAGGTCAGACCATCCTTTATTTAACTTCACTTTTTGGTCTTTTACTCCTTTCCTCCATAGTCACTCTTACCCTGTCACAGTATACAGTCTTCCACCTCTTTCTGTTGCAGAGATCTGCTGGTTCTTGCATCACTTTCGCTTACTTCTTG